ATCGACAATAGTCCATATTTTGTGGTCTAAATAAGTACGCAAAGCGCCCTTATCAACCTACCCTAATCCAAGTCGTAGGCTAGGTTATGGTTGAATAAATCAGTCTCAAAAACTACGCGGCCAAAGTATTGTTATCAAATGGTTCATATAAATCAAGAGGTGTTTGATGCACGTTGTTGAGAAGAAAATGCATTTTATGATGTGATGTGATGGAAAATACGGTTAAAAATAAGGAAAAGTTTTAAATTTATGCGCAATATTATTTTATTGAAAAACGCGTAGTCAAAAATGAGTATTAAAAGAATGAACTTTGGAAAAAAATGTGGATCAAACAATAGCTAAAATACAATATATATATTATTTAAAACAACTCGTAAGAGATGAGAAAGACGTCAAGGAAAAGGGTAAATTGGTAGACAGATATATGGCATCAGCATGACGTCATTGATGATATCTTATGAATAGTAAGTAGCCAACAAATGTTGGATGAATGAAGTTTTCATGGATGTTGACAGTTTATTAATTAGTGGGGTCTTTAATTTATTAATTGTTATTTTTTGTAACAGTGAAGTCCTAATTTTACATATTAGTAGGTTAGGAATGTAATTATTAATTAGTGGATTAGTGGTTTGCTTAGCGCATGTTTGAGAGTGATTAAAATTCAATTAAAATTGAAAATATAGTCGTTATTGGGTTTTACTCGTCTAATAAAAGTCAACAATAACGACTAATTTTTCAATTTTAATCCGATTTTAATATCTACCAAACACGCTTTTAATTACTTTGTTAGACGGTTAGTAGGATGCGTGCAGTTGTTGCATGACATGACATGACATGACATTCATTACCATTTCATTTTCTAATTTTTTTTTTTTTGCAAAATATTGCCTATTTAGGATCAATGAGTGCAATTCAATTCGTGTTCATTTTTCATAAAAGTGTTGTGCTCTCCCTATTTTTTCTTTCATATTTTCCTCAGCATTTTTCTATTTCATTTGGTAGATGGTTAAATCACCACAATTTATGGTTGCGACTTCTAGAATACATGGTTTCTCAAACAATTTTATTTTTAGCGTGCGTTGGATGAAAAATCATCAATTTTTCAATCAAATAGTTACATTCTTTGCACATGATAATTTATTCAATCGTCCTACATGGATATTATCATTTTTTACAACGTCATGTGCTAACATACTATTGGACTGTTTGAATTTTTGACAGTTTTTTCACCTAATTAACACCTGCCAACACTCAGTAACGTCAGTAATAATGTTAATAAAAGAGTTTACAGGTGATATTTTCCTAATTTATTTGAGGGTTACTTTAAAATGGAGATCTAGATATTTATTTGGGAAAGTTTGAGATTCAAGTTTGCAATATTTCTCTTTTAATTAATTTCTCATTATAGCTAAGCCATTAAACTTGCTTTTGATATACATAAATAGACAGAATCCACCAACAATTCTTCCTACCTTTTACTTTTATTGTTCTACTTCATCTTCACGTCATATGAACAATGGATACCCTGCTTTTAATTGAAAATATCACTTATTTTTTAAATTAGGAGTGGCTGATCTATTTTTTAAATATTAAGTTGAAAAATGTAAGCCTCTATCTATTTAGCCCACATTTGGTACACTATAAATTCAAATTCAAATCAAAATCAACAATTAATTTTAACCACATATTTCATGATATCCAAAACTTTTCAACTGCACATTCTATCAATTTTTATCAAAATACAATAAAAATCTGATTTTTATTTAAACAAAACTGGGGCTTAATATGTAACTATCTTATTTTCGGCTTGCTCATATTAAGAAAAAGATTTAAAACTCACATATTTACTAATATTAGTAAGAGTTGGCATGCATGCATAGCTTTTGCATAAGAGTTGACAATTGTAATTTGCCTAGACCTTTATGATTCAGGAATTAAATATCTTGTTTACCTAACACGCGTGACGCATCAACAAATTATACACACTCATATACATAATATGTGTAATATAGAGAGAGATGGGGGTTGGTGGCACAAATTTAGTTCACGTTACTCAACCCCCAATCCAACCTCACCCTACCAATCCAATTTGAGTAAGGATCGACTCTCTATATAAATATTTGCTTTTTTTTTCCCAACTTTGAAGGATAAGAAGAGCTAAATAATTCCAAAGAGTGAGAAAATGGCAAAGAGTAGGGTTCTTGTCGTGGGTGGAACTGGTTACATTGGTAAGAGAATTATTAATGCTAGCTTAGCCGAGGGTCATCCAACTTATGTCCTACGACGCTCAGAAATTGGCCTCGATATCGATAAATTGCAGATATTATTATCGTTTAAACAGAAGGGAGCACGACTCGTGGATGGCTCATTTTTCGACCACCGAAGCCTTGTGGATGCTGTGAAACAAGTCGATGTTGTCATATGTACCATGTCTGGGGTGCACTTCCGGAGCCACAATCTTTTGATGCAGCTCAAATTGGTTGAAGCCATCAAAGAAGCTGGAAATATCAAGGTACATATAAATGGTTCATTGAGGAAATTGTTCAATTTATGTAACAACTGAACATGTCCACGCAGCCTGCATACGTAGAGCTCGTTTGACATGGCTTTTGAGATTCAAAGTATTTTTTCTAATTAGAAGAGTTTTTAGAGGAGTTGTTCCAAAAGTGACTTCCCTTTTGGAATAGAAAATTCTTTTGAAAATTACTTTCTAAACAAAAATAAAAGTAATTTCCTCCAAAAATTATTCTACAAAAAGCTTGCAAAAGTCACGCCAAACCATGAATTTTTTCCATGATTTTAGTTGAACATTGTTAAACCATTTTATTTTGAAATTACTCATTTGTCAAATATGATATTTAAAATTACTTTCGGTCAAAACTTTTTAGAAAATTAACTTTTAAATTACAATCAAACATGCACGTGGTGTAAAAATTTATCTTCAATTCCTAAATCATGTCATGTAAATGTATAAATTGTTATGGAGTCGACAAATTTATCTATTTACATAAATATTCCACTCTTAAAATTTTCTATTAATTTATTTAAAGTTAATCTTCATAGTGAATTTATTTTTCCATCAAAAGCCTAACACATGGATGTCTATTTACAGCGTTTCTTGCCTTCAGAGTTTGGCGTTGATCCAGCACAAATGGAACGTGCACTTGAACCAGGAAGAGTTACATTTGACGAAAAGATGACAGTTAGAAAGGCAATTGAAGCTGCTAACATCCCTTATACATATATTTCTGCTAACTGTTTCGGAGGATACTTTGCTGGTAATCTCTGTCAGATGAGAACCCTACTTCCTCCAAAGGACAAAGTATACATCTATGGAGATGGAAATGTTAAAGGTATATACAAAACATACTTATTACATTCAGAAAATTACACTGGTGCCAGACGAAAACGAGCAAGAAAATCGTGTACTCCTATTTTGTTCTATTATTCGGTACAACAAAATATCAGACAATATGTTTTTTTTGATCTATGGAAAAAAATTAGTGTATCTAAAAGGAAGAGAGTGCAGTGGTTCGAGTAATTTTATTTGTTTGTAAAAATGGTCAAAATGTGTCAGTTACATTCATAACTGCAAAAGTATAATAGATTTTGTACCTAATTCTTGTAAAAGAAGGGTGTCTACTTAAAAGGGTGTGCTCTCTTCCATAGTCTCTTTTATTTTGTTTAAAAAATGAAGAAGAAAAACTGTCTGAATCGCAAGTTGTAGCAGTCTTCTTCATTTCAACAACGTTATTTATTTTGTGATTTTGAATTTTGCATCAATCATGAAAGCAATCTATATGGATGAAGACGATGTAGCAACATACACGATTAAGTCCATTGATGATCCTAGTACACTGAACAAGACATTGTACCTTCGACCACCAGAAAACATCCTTACTCAAATGCAGCTAGTCGAAAAATGGGAGAAGCTTACAGGAAAAATGCTAGAGAAAATCAGCATTTCTGCAGAAGACTTCTTATCTAAGATAAAAGGTATAATATCTTACTAAACTAAACAAATTTTATGTTATTTTTTTCTTGCAGTATTCAGATTTTTTTGAATTTCTTATCGTGTAAATGCAGGGGCAGATTTTGTTGAACAAGTAGCATTGGGGCATTTCTATCACATTTTCTATGAAGGATGCTTAACAAACTTTGAAATAGGGGAGAATGGGGCAGAAGCCTCAGAACTTTATCCTGAAGTTCGGTATACTCGAATCCAAGAATACTTAAAGCGTTATCTCTAATGTCACTGCTGGCTATGAATTGACTTTTGTTCGCGAATGCTGTCAAAAACTCGATATATGTTTAGTGTGACTTTTCATTGTATTTTATTTTGGTATCCTTGAAGAACATTTTAAATCAAGTTTAATTTAATAAGTGAAAATGTAATCGTCTTCATTGAAGTTGAGATCTCACTTCGGATCGAGACTATTATTTCCAGGCAATTTCTTGATTCCCAACGACTATTTTCAATTTTTCGATTTAACAATCAATTTACATACATTGTTAGAATATATAGGTCTTGAGTCGCTCATGTGAGATGACTCAACCCACAAAACATTAAAAGGGTTAGAGGGAGTTGTTCGAATTTGAAATTCAAACCTAAAACTCCCCATAACCTCCCTTGATACCCATGTACCCTCTAATTGTTATTCAAGAGAAACAGAGAAAAATATGGCAAGATAAAATTGTGAAATTCGTACGCAAAAATACACAAAAATTGGAACGGCCCTAAAAATTGAAACAACTATTTTAGTATCGAAACTCACAAAAAAAGGCACTTAGATTGTGAATAATATAATCACCTTCCATTGTGAATGGGGTTGGGACCATTGGAGAACAAGAAAATGCAGATTTTGGAGTTTTAAAATGCAAGATGATTCAATTATATAAAGATCTTGGAATTCATTCTTTCAAATAAGAATTCTTGACCCATAATTTATGATCATGCATGCTGAGAATTCCTACATACACATTCTCGACCATTTTGTGGTTTGAATACAAATGCATTGGGTGCTTAATTAATTTATGCACAGAAACGTACAGAAACAAGTCGCAAAATGGTTAGCTGGACATGAATTTGATGATGAATTCGTCACGAATTTTGTTCAACTACTTTAACAGAGCCTGTAAAGAAATTAAAATTGCAATAAAATTCGGTTGATTTTTTTTGTCGTTTCTACTTTCAAGGCCACTGCGGTTATTCATATCAAGCAAAATACCGTTCTCTTTTGCTATTCCTTTCGAACTTAACACGAGAAATATAAAGAAGTGTTGGGAATATCTATGTATCAATGCAGACACAATGCACAGATATAGCTCTGTTCAACAGCTCATTTTACAATGGCAGATCAATAGTATCAATCTCAGAAATGAAACATTCTCCAGAATCACCAAGTCTCCAAATACATAGCATAATAGAGTTATAATAGCTCATTCATTAGTGACAAAGTTCAAACCCCTAATCAGCATGTAATCAAACATTCCAGCATAAAGAAATCATGACCAGATTCCATATTAACATCATTTACAGATCATACAAAAAATGCAGAAACTGGTACTCAATATGCAGGCATTTACTGGACATAACAATAGGCAATCTGAACTGAAATCAAAACACGAAATGTACAGAATAATACTCCCCTTTCTACCGGCCGGAGAACGCCATGGATGCTCAATTTCCACCTCCTATTTCGGCTGAAATGCAGGCT